AGGCCATCGATGTTAGGTTGGAGGCCATCGCTTTTAGGTTGGGGGCCATCACCATTAGTTTGGAGGCCATCGCTAATAGGTTGGAGGCCATCGCTCTTGGGTTAGATGCCATCGCCATCAGGTTGGAGGCCATCGCTGCTATGTAGGAGGCCATTGCCTTAATTTAGGCTGGAGGCCATCGCCATTAGGTTGGAGGCAATCGCTAATAGGTAGGAGGCCATCGCTATTGAGGTAGAAACTACTGAATAGACTAGGGGCGTTACTATAGGCAAGGTGGCTCACTCGAAGCTGAGGTGGTCTCACATGCAATGGTGGAGCATGAGCGGTCGACATATTCGGATTGCTTGGAGGTGACGTTCCCCTTGCGAATTGCACAACATACCTCGGTCTATTGGGGTGCCTCAGCTTTAGGGCAGATCAGTATTGCCTTAGCCTTTGGTGGATGCTCCGTCCTGTGCGAAGTTCCCGAGATTGAAGATTTCAAGCGAGTCATTCGAGAAGAGGCAGTGAATACAATTGGCCTAGTGCCAGATCAGTTGAAGCTCCTAGCAGAGGATCCCTCCTCAGAGCTACCCAACATCCAGGCAGTCTTCAGTTGGGGTGAGAAGCTGCCGATCAATGTAGCCCAAAGATGGTCCAACCATCCAAAAGCACGGCTCAGAGAATTGCTCGTGTCCACCGAATATTGGCTTTCCTTCTACTCAGCTCCACTCGAGGGCATTGGACGCCATCGGATCGTGGGAGGAGTTGAAACCTTGATCATCGATCAGGCAGAGCAGGATGGAACTGGCGAGCTGGTCATTCGCGGGCCAATGGTCACGACAGGAGACGGGGTTGAGAAGACTTGTGTTTCATCCATTGACCCCTTGTGCGCCCCTTCATTTTGTCTGAACCCCCCTTGTGCCCTCCTTCATTCGCCCTTGGGCTTCATCCATTGCCCTCTCCTGCCCCCCTTCATTGCCCCCTTGTTTGTGTTTCTTGTTTTTGGACCTTTTTAGATGTTCCTTTGCGATGCGCGTCTTCAGGATACATTGCGGGTGAATCTTCCGACTCCTCCTTCATTGACATCGATGGGAAGTCCTATTTCCGCACTCGCGACTTGGTTCAGCGATGGTCCGATGGCACCTTAGAGTTTCGTGGACGAGCTGATATGACCATGAAGCAGCGGGGACAGTGGGTCGATCTGTCGACGTTGCAGGGAAATCTTCAAGAGATCAAGGAGATCGAGGATTGTCAGGTCGTGCCCGATCCGGGAGGTAGTAGCACCGTCCATGCTTTCGTGGTCTTGAAGGTTGCAGAGTCTCTTCGCGTGGCCGAGGCCTTGCGACAGGTACGGAAGCTCCTGCCACATGGGCAGATTCACACCTTGAGTAGCTTACCAAGGCACCCAGTCACGTGCAAAGTGGACTACCGGAAACTGACCTCGCTGGCCAAGGGGAGTGAGGAAAGCTGGCCAC